GGGATTTTGTCTGCGTCTTTGATAGCCACTGTGGGGCTGGTGCTGAATTCACTGTGGGGCTGGGATAAAGACTGCTAATGGGATTGCCACTGTAGGATCTGTGTGCTGGAATCACTGTAGGCCTGTGATACGGGTGTTGGTGCTGGGTCCTGTGATTGGAAATAGAACAAGATGGGTAGGGGCAAAATAATGGGACCATAACATGGGAGCTGAAATGCTGGCAGTGCCAAGGTTTTGCCTGCGTCTTTGATAGCCACTGTAGGGCTGCTGCTGAATTCACTGTGGGGCTGGGACATTGACTTTGGGGTGGGCTTCTAGGCCCTAGGGTGGGAGCTGAAATGTTGCCGAGCTGGAGACAGGAGGAAGATCCTGCGCCTTGTACCTGGAGAAGTTTCAGCCAGCAGCACTGAAGAAACACGCATCTGGAGCTGGAAGAAGAGAGCATGCAGTGAAATAAAGCTTGTGGGCCAAGAGCTGAAATCACTGGGGCTGGGAAAGGGCTCTCCAGGGCAAGAGCTGAAATCACTGTGGGCTGGGATAGGGACTGACAATGTCAAAGCCGCTGTAGGATCTGTGTGCTGGAATCACTGTAGGCCTGGGATATGGATGTTGGGGCTGGGTCCTGTGATTGGAAATAGAACAGGATGGGTAGGGGCAAAATAATGGGACCGTAGCAGGGGAGCTGAAATGGGTTCGGGTTAGGGATTTTGCCTGCGTCTTTGATAGCCACTGTAGCGCTGGTGCTGAATTCACAGTGGGGCGGGGACATTGACTGTGGGGTGGGCTTCTAGGCCCTAGGGTGGGAGCTGAAATGTTGCCGAGCTGGAGACAGGAGGAAGATCCTGCGCCTTGTACCTGGAGAAGTTTCAGCCCGAAGCATTGAAGAAACACGCATCTGGAGCTGGAAGAAGAGAGCATGCTGTGAAATAAAGCTTGTGGGCCAAGAGCTGAAATCACTGGGGCTGGGATAGGGACTGACAATGACATAGCCACTGTAGGATCTGTGTGCTGGAATCACTGTAGGCCTGCGATATGGATGTTGGGGCTGGGTCCTGTGACTGAAAATAGAACAAGATGGGTAGGGGCAAAATAATGGGACCGTAGCAGGGGAGCTGAAACGGCTTAGGGATTTTGCCTGCGTCTTTGATAGCCACTGTGGGGCTGGTGCTGAATTCACTGTGGGGCTGGGATAAAGACTGCTAATGGGATTGCCACTGTAGGATCTGTGTGCTGGAATCACTGTAGGCCTGTGATACGGGTGTTGGTGCTGGGTCCTGTGATTGGAAATAGAACAAGATGGGTAGGGGCAAAATAATGGGACCATAACATGGGAGCTGAAATGCTGGCAGTGCCAAGGTTTTGCCTGCGTCTTTGATAGCCACTGTAGGGCTGCTGCTGAATTCACTGTAAGGCTGGGACATTGACTTTGGGGTGGGCTTCTAGGCCCTAGGGTGGGAGCTGAAATGTTGCCGAGCTGGAGACAGGAGGAAGATCCTGCGCCTTGTACCTGGAGAAGTTTCTGCCAGCAGCACTGAAGAAACACGCATCTGGAGCCGGAAGAAGAGCTTGCAGTGAAATAAAGCTTGTGGGCCAAGAGCTGAAATCACTGGGGCTGGGAAAGGGCTCTCCAGGGCAAGAGCTGAAATCACTGTGGGCTGGGATAGGGACTGACAATGTCAAAGCCACTGTAGGATCTGTGTGCTGGAATCATTGTAGGCCTGTGATACGGGTGTTGGTGCTGGGTGCTGTGACTGAAAATAGAACAAGATGGGTAGGGGCAAAATAATGGGACCGTAACAGGGGAGCTGAAACGGGTTAGGGATTTTGCCTGCGTCTTCGTAGCCACTGTAGCGCTGGTGCTGAATTCACAGTGGGGCGGGGTCATTGACTGTGGGGTGGGCTTCTAGGCCCTAGGGTGGGAGCTGAAATGTTGCCGAGCTGGAGACAGGAGGAAGGTCCTGCGCCTTGTACCTGGAGAAGTTTCTGCCAGCAGAACTGAAGAAACACGCATCTGGAGCCGGAAGAAGTGCTTGCAGTGAAATAAAGCTTGTGGGCCAAGAGCTGAAATCACTGGGGCTGGGAAAGGGCTCTCGAGGGCAAGAGCTGAAATCACTGTGGGCTGGGATAGGGACTGCTAATGGGATTGCCACTGTAGGATCTGTGTGCAGGAATCACTGTAGGCCTGTGATATGGATGTTGGGGCTGGGTCCTGTGACTGAAAAGAGAACAAGATGGGTAGGGGCAAAATAATGGGAGTGTAACACGGGAGCTGAAATGGGTTCGGGTTAGGGATTTTGTCCGCGTCTTTGATAGCCACTGTGGGGCTGGTGCTGAATTCACTGTGGGGCTGGGATAGGGACTGCTAATGGGATTGCCACTGTAGGATCTGTGTGCTGGAATCATTGTAGGCCTGTGATACGGGTGTTGGTGCTGGGTCCTGTGATTGGAAATAGAACAAGATGGGTAGGGGCAAAATAATGGGACCGTAACAGGGGAGCTGAAATGGGTTCAGGTTAGGGATTTTGTCTGCGTCTTTGATAGCCACTGTGGGGCTGGTGCTGAATTCACTGTGGGGCTGGGATAGGGACTGCTAATGGGATTGCCGCTGTAGGATCTGTGTGCTGGAATCACTGTAGGCCTGTGATATGGATGTTGGGGCTGGGTCTTGTGACTGAAAAGAGAACAAGATGGGTAGGGGCAAAATAATGGGACCGTAACAGGGGAGCTGAAACGGGTTAGGGATTTTGCCTGCGTCTTCGATAGCCACTGTAGGGCTGCTGCTGAATTCACTGTAAGGCTGGGACATTGACTTTGGGGTGGGCTTCTAGGCCCTAGGGTGGGAGCTGAAATGTTGCCGAGCTGGAGACAGGAGGAACATCCTGCGCCTTGTACCTGGAGAAGTTTCAGCCAGCAGCACTGAAGAAACACGCATCTGGAGCCGGAAGAAGAGCTTGCAGTGAAATAAAGCTTGTGGGCCAAGAGCTGAAATCACTGGGGCTGGGAAAGGGCTCTCGAGGGCAAGAGCTGAAATCACTGTGGGCTGGGATAGGGACTGACAATGTCAAAGCCACTGTAGGATCTGTGTGCAGGAATCACTGTAGGCCTGTGATATGGATGTTGGGGCTGGGTCTTGTGACTGAAAAGAGAACAAGATGGGTAGGGGCAAAATAATGGGACTGTAACACGGGAGCTGAAATGGGTTCGGGTTAGGGATTTTGCCTTCGTCTTTGATAGCCACTGTGGGGCTGGTGCTGAATTCACTGTGGGGCTGGGATAGGGACTGCTAATGGGATTGCCACTGTAGGATCTGTGTGCTGGAATCATTGTAGGCCTGTGATACGGGTGTTGGTGCTGGGTCCTGTGATTGGAAATAGAACAAGATGGGTAGGGGCAAAATAATGGGACCGTAACAGGGGAGCTGAAACGGGTTAGGGATTTTACCTGCGTCTTCGATAGCCACTGTAGCGCTGGTGCTGAATTCACAGTGGGGCGGGGTCATTGACTGTGGGGTGGGCTTCTAGGCCCTAGGGTGGGAGCTGAAATGTTGCCGAGCTGGAGACAGGAGGAACATCCTGCGCCTTGTACCTGGAGAAGTTTCAGCCAGCAGCACTGAAGAAACACGCATCAGGAGCCGGAAGGAGAGCTTGCAGTGAAATAAAGCTTGTGGGCCAAAAGCTGAAATCACTGGGGCTGGGAAAGGGCTCTCCAGGGCAAGAGCTGAAATCACTGTGGGCTGGGATAGGGACTGACAATGTCAAAGCCACTGTAGGATCTGTGTGCAGGAATCACTGTAGGCCTGTGATATGGATGTTGGGGCTGGGTCCTGTGACTGGAAATAGAACAAGATGGGTAGGGGCAAAATAATGGGACCATAACATGGGAGCTGAAATGCTGACAGTGCCAAGGTTTTGCCTGCGTCTTTGATAACCACTATAGGGCTGCTGCTGAATTCACTGTGGGGCTGGGACATTGACTTTGGGGTGGGCTTCTAGGCCCTAGGGTGGGAGCTGAAATGTTGCCGAGCTGGAGACAGGAGGAAGATCCTGCGCCTTGTACCTGGAGAAGTTTCTGCCAGCAGCATTGAAGAAACACGCATCTGGAGCCGGAAGAAGAGCTTGCAGTGAAATAAAGCTTGTGGGCCAAGAGCTGAAATCACTGGGGCTGGGAAAGGGCTCTCCAGGGCAAGAGCTGAAATCACTGTGGGCTGGGATAGGGACTGACAATGTCAAAGCCACTGTAGGATCTGTGTGCAGGAATCACTGTAGGCCTGTGATATGGATGTTGGGGCTGGGTCTTGTGACTGAAAAGAGAACAAGATGGGTAGGGGCAAAATAATGGGACCATAACATGGGAGCTGAAATGCTGGCAGTGCCAAGGTTTTGCCTGCGTCTTTGATAGCCACTGTAGCGCTGGCGCTGAATTCACAATGGGGCGGGGACATTGACTGTGGGGTGGGCTTCTAGGCCCTAGGGTGGGAGCTGAAATGTTGCCGAGCTGGAGACAGGAGGAAGATCCTGCGCCTTGTACCTGGAGAAGTTTCTGCCAGCAGCATTGAAGAAACACGCATCTGGAGCCGGAAGAAGAGCTTGCAGTGAAATAAAGCTTGTGGGCCAAGAGCTGAAATCACTGTGGGCTGGGATAGGGACTGACAATGTCAAAGCCACTGTAGGATCTGTGTGCTGGAATCACTGTAGGCCTGTGATACGGGTGTTGGTGCTGGGTCCTGTGATTGGAAATAGAACAAGATGGGTAGGGGCAAAATAATGGGACCATAACATGGGAGCTGAAATGCTGACAGTGCCAAGGTTTTGCCTGCGTCTTTGATAACCACTATAGGGCTGCTGCTGAATTCACTGTGGGGCTGGGACATTGACTTTGGGGTGGGCTTCTAGGCCCTA